CTTTCGAGCAAGGGAACCTTTACCTTTACTTTACAAGTATAACAGACCTAGACCGATTCCACACAAGAGCTGCGCCGTGGTCGTGCCTCCCTTTGACCCGCTTCTATTGCTCAATTTCCCACTCGAAGCTGCGCGGCTGCGTTTTGACCCACGGCTTTGCCCGATTTTCCCCGCAGTTTCGTGATCCTGTTTTTTGAGGATCACGAAACTGCGGGGAAAATAGGGTGAAGCCGCGAGTCAAAACCCGGCCGCGTGGCTTCGAATGGGAAATTGAGCAATAGAAGCGGGGCAAAGGGAGGTGGGACCGCGGCGCAGCTCTTGTGTGAAATTGGTCCTACTGTTTGTAAAAATTTAATTGCTTTGCTTTGTGCTGCAGCTAAGGCAGTGGTGAAGGTAAAGGTTCCCTTGCTCGAAAGCCAGTCGAATCCGACTCTAGGGTTGCGGTGCTCATCTCCGTTTCAAAGCCGAAGAGCCAGCGCTGTCTGAAGACGTTTCCGTGGTCATGTGGCCGGCGCGACTAAACACTAAGGCACACAAAACACTGTTACCTTCCCACCAAAGTGGTACCTATTTATCTACTTGCAATTTCTTGTGGTAGCAACCTTCTAATTTGTTTTCTTGGTATAAAGAGGTGTGAGATTTTATGATTATGGGGAAAAAATAACAGCTCAGTTAAAACAAATGCACTCTGAATCGTTGCAAGACACTTTTGTAGGGACTTCCCATCCTTACAGACCTATTTGTGCCCATCCTTACAGACCTATTTGTGCCCATCCTTACAGACCTATTCTGACGATTAAAAGGTCAATTGGAAGATGCAGCCAAATTAAAACGTCCCTGGGCTCCCACCGGAACTGTGAGTGTACAAAAAACGTTGCGTTTAACCTTTGCCGCCCCCCCGGCTCCCCCCCCCCGCTGCTGTGAGACACGAACCTGGACGACGTATCCCGAGATGCACTTGAAATTGGGAGGCTGCAGGGCGCCGTCAATAAGAACATCCCCAGACAAGCCAGCGGGATCCTTCCGAGCAGCCAGGACATCGAGGAGACTGCAGGCAGGAAGGGGTTTCTCTGCTTGTCAGAAACATCTTTTCTTTCATTTATTTACTCCATTCACACCCCGCCTTTCCTCCCCCATAGGGACCCAATGTGGTTTACGCCCTTCCCCTCGCCTCCATTTTATGCTCACAACAACCCTGTGAGGTCGGTCGGGCCGAGAGTGTGTGACTGACGACAATAATTATTGTATGGCATTGTATGCAGAATAGCCAGGGGAGCCTCAGATTGTCTGGCAGCTGGACGTTCTAGCTCTTTTAGTGTTATGCACCACTAGGTGGCGAGCTAGAGTTGTTTTTTTAAGGCAAGAGACATCCCAGAGGTGGTTTTGCCATTGCCTTCCTCTGCGTCATGACCCTGGTATTCCTTGGAGGCCGCCCTTCCAAATACTAGCCAGGGCTGACCCTGCTTACGGGATCGGGCAAGCCTGGGCTATCCGGGTTGGGAAAAGAAGAAGAGAAGAGATTGGAATGATATCCTGCCCTTCACTACCCGAAGGAGTCTCAGAGCGGCTTACAACCTCCTTTCCCTTCCCCTCTGAACAACAGACACCCTGTGAGGTCGGTGGGGCTGAGAGAGCTCTTTCGAGGACTGCTCTTGAGAGAACAGCTCTGAGAGAACTTGTGACTGGCCCAAGGTCACACCAACAGCTGCATGAGGAGGAGTGGGGAATCAAACCCGTTTTCCCCAGATTAGGGTCCGCGCTCCTAACCACTACACCAAACTGGCAGTGTGTGACTGGCCCAAGGTCACCCACGGCAGAGTGGGGGTCTGAACCCCAGGGCTCCCACATCCTAGTCCGACACTCTTAGCCAGGACGCCACACTGGCTCCACGGGATTCCTTTTGACCTAATGAGGCTTGAGGGTAATACCTGTAAAACCCCTGAGCTTGTCTGACCAATTGCTGGGAAGTTTCTCTATTCAGAAGCCAATGGCTGATGCATTAGATGTGTTAAAGAAGCTTCCCTAGAGGCGCCGACCTGCTCCACAGTCAGTTCCACTGAGTTAATGGGGCTTAGTCCCAAATCAGAGCAGGCGGCCTTAACGGTATTTTTTGTGTAAACAACAAACAACCCTTTAGCTTAGCGCACTGCGTGGCAGAAACACAACGGGGCAACCCCCAGGGGTCATTTCCTGCAGGAGCGCACAGGAGCGGAGCTCCGGCAGTAAAGAGCCCGGGGGCGGGCACATGCAACAAGCCCCGCCCCCTGCTCCCAGCAGCACTCAGTCAGAGCAAGAAGCAGCCAGGTAATCTGCAGATTCCCCCTCCCCCAAATAGCAATCCAAAACAGTCCCGTAGCACCTTTAATGCCAAAGTTTATTGAGGTACAAGCTCTTCCTCCTCTGTGAGGGCAGATCTGCACGTCCCCCACCCCCGCTAGCTAGCAATCCAAAACAGCCCAGTGGAGCCTGAGCGGTGGGTGTTACCTTCTGACACACTTCCGGTGATGTCAGGGTGTGTGGCATATGCAAATGAGTTATGCTAATGAGTTATGCTAATGAGCTCCTGCACCTCTTTTTCTACGAAATGACCCCTGGCAACCCCTAACATACTTACGATGATTTGCCGCTGCCTGTTGGACCCAGAATTGCGTTCATGCCTGGCTTCATAATTCCGCTGGAAGGAAAAGGAATGAAAAGGGATTTCCATGTATTATTCTGAGTTGGCCGTGTGTGTGTGTGTGTGTGGAGGGGGGGGGCTCCTTCAGCATTCTGCCGTGATCCTGTGGGACAATTCCTTCCACTACCAAATCGAGATGCCTTGTCCTGTTACCAGGAAGTTTGGCACACAGAACCAAACTGGTGAGAGGTTCAGTCAGGCCCAGTTGGGGGGTCAGGGGTGGCACTCACCCTGGGCCTCAAGCTCAATTTTAGACACCCATTAATTGTTCAGCATTCAATAAGAAGAAGAGGAGGAGATTGGATTTATACCCTGCCCTCCACTTGGAGTCTCAGAGTGGCTTACAAACTCCTTCCCCTTCCCCTCCCCACAACAGACACCCTGTGGGGTAGGCGGGGCTGAGAGAGCTCTGACACAAACTGCTCTTTTTCAAGGACAGCTGTGCCAGAGCTTGTGACTGACCCAAGGTCACATCAGCAGGTGCAAGTGGAGGAGTGGGGAATCAAACCCGGTTCTCCCAGATTAGAGTCCGCGCACTTAACCACGACACCAAACTGGCAACTTGTTTTTATGTGCAATCCTATCGGACCTAAATCTGACACTCTCTTTTTAAATTTTTTGTTATGGCGAGGGGGTCTCAAGAGCTGGAAGTTACAGAGGCCTCTGAGCTGGGCTGCCAGCTTCCAGGTGAGTAAAGTCAAGGACGAGAGATCACCGGACAGGCTGAACTTTGTAAGGAAAAACAACCGTGATATGACAACGAAACCTTGTTAGAGAGAAATATATCCTTTAATTATCCAGTGAATAACAAATCATAAAGGTGTTTTCTTAGAAGTAAACATGAGACCAATTTTCTTCTCAGAAAACACCTTTATGATTTGTTACTCACTGGATTAGGGGTCATATCCTGCATGAGCACACAGGAGCGGCACTCCGGCAGTAAAGAGCCCAGGGGGCGGGCACATGCAACAAGCCCCACCTCCTGCTCCCAGCAGCCCTCAGTCAGAGCAAGAAGCAGCCAGGTAAGTTGCAGAGCTCCCCCCGGCCCCCGGTCCAAAACAGTCCAGTGGCACCTTTAAGACCACTTTAAGAAAAAAGTAGTATTATTCAGGTAGAAGCTCTCCCTCCTCTGCGAGGGCAGATCTACACGTTCCCCCCCCCGCCCAATAGCTAGCAATCCAAAACAGTCCAGTGGAGCCTGAGCGGTGGGTGTTGCCTTCTGACACACGTCCAGTGATGTCTGGGGTGTGTGGCATATGCAAATAAGTTATGCTAATGAGTTATGCTAATGAGCTCCTGCACCTCTTTTTCTACAAAATGGCCCCTGCCCTGGATAATTAAAAGAAGATATATTTTTCTCTAACAAGGTTTCGTTATCATATCACGGTTGTTTTTCCTTGCAAAGTTCAGCTTCCAGGTGAGGCCTGGAGATTTCCTGCTATGGCACTCGCTCTCCAGATGACAGAGATCAATTCCTCTGGAGAAAATGGCTGCTTTGGAGGGTAGACTCTATGGCACTGTACCCTGCTGAGTCCCTCCCTCCCCAGTTCAACCCACAAAATCGCCAGGTATTTCCCAAACCCAGAGCTGGTAACCCTACCTCTGAGAGGGCCTGGGTATAATCTAGGCTTGCCAAGTCCCCCCGGGGGGCGGGAAAACCCCCGCCCGAGAGGCCTGTTACCCGCCGCCGGCGGATCGGGCCCTGGGGGGAACCCCACCCCCAAAGCACGTGACGTGTCCGGCGTCAGCACGTCACCCAGAAGTGACACAGTTTTCCCTCAGATGATTGTGGCCCCGCCCCCGGCGTGCTCGACATGGTTGCGTCACTTCCGGGTGACGTAATTGCGGCGCGCGCTTTGCATGCGCACATAGACTCTCGGAGCAGTGCTGGACTCCCCCGGTCTACATACGGTAAGGATAATCTGCCAAATTTTATCAGAAGTTTATGAGGAATTGCAGCGTCACAGGGATTTAAAACATCGTCCTTGCAGCATTTTACCATTTTTGTGTCTACCCAAAACATACCTTCGATAACATACCTTCAACACCTCCTTTCACAGGTTTAGATTGTGTCAAAAATTCAGTAAATTTACAAGAATCTTCCCTCCAGTGTTGCATTTGGTGGTGGCGGGGAACCTTTAGTTTATTTCTGAAATTTTGAGGTTTCTCATACCCAATTTTAATCAGACATTTAAGGGCAAGTCAGGAGCAAATTGGGCTGCCCTGGTGAAGGCTGACAGATCAGCCCTGTACTGGAACAAGCCAGCGGGTGTGGCACGGAGGGCGCTGTTCCATGGGCGTGCGCAAGGGCAGTGGTTTTTGACACAAAGCACAGAAATACATCTCCAAGGAATTTCATGGCTGGCTTTTCTTCTGAGTTCCAGGATAGGGCAACTTGGGACACAAAATACGAATTCACCAATCCCTTTTAGTATGTGAAAGTAAATATTTTCCCCTTGAACTAATCGGCAACGCATCCAGAAAAGGAGCTTCTGAAGCCTTTTCCAAATGTGTTCTAGTTGTTAATTTTATCTCCTCTCTCATAAGAACACAAGAAGACGCCTGCTGGATCAGACCAATAGTCCATCGAGTCCAGCATCCTGTCTCTCAGAGGCTAACCAGCAACTCTGGAGGTACAGCAACAGGGCAGAGGAGGAGGAGGAGGAGGAGGAGGAGATTGGATTTATACCCCACCCTTCAGGGCTGAGAGAACTCTGACACAAACTGCTCTTTTTCAAGGACAGCTGTGCCAGAGCTCGTGACTGACCCAAGGTCACATCAGCAGGTGCAAGTGGAGGAGTGGGGAATCAAACCCGGTTCTCCCAGATTAGAGTCCGCACACTTAACCACTACACCAAACTGGCATAGAGACCGAGGCCTTCCCCTCATATTGCCTCTTGGCTCCGGGATTCAGAGGATTAGTGCCTCTGAATGTGGAGGTTCCCCTCAGTCACCATGGCTAGTAGGCCACTGATAGACTTATCTTCCATGAATCTATCTGATCCCCTTTGAAAGCTGTTCATTCCTGTGGCCGTCACTACATCCTCGGGCAGCGAATTCCACGTTTTAACCAGTCTCCGTGTAAAGTAGTATTTCCTTTTGTTCGTACTGCCCATCAGCTTCATTGGACGCCCTTGAGTTCCACTTTTTGGGGAGAAGGAGAACATTTTCCCTTTGTCAGCTCTCTCCACCTCATGCATAATTCTATAAACCTTTATCACGCCCCCCTCCCCTCCTTAGTCATCTCTTTTCTGAACTGAAAAGTCCCAGACTCTTCAGTCTCTCCTCCTAGGGAAGAGAAGAAGAGGAGATGAGATTGGATTTATACCCCCGCCCTTCACTACCCAAAGGTGTCTCAGAGCGGCTTACAAACTCCTTTCCCTTCCCCTCCCCACAACAGACAAACACCCTGTGAGGTGGGGTGCTGAGAGAGCTCTGAGAGAACTGCCCTTTTAAGGGCAGCTCTGAGAGAACTCGTGACTGACCCAAGGTCATCCAGCCAGGTGCAAGTGGAGGAGTGGGGAATCAAACCCGGCTCTCCCAGATTAGATTCCGCGCACTTAACCCACTACACCAAAGCTCCTCCAAGCCCCTCATCATCTTAGTCGCCCTCCTCTCTACTTTTCCCCATCTCTGCAATGGCCTTTTTGAGATATGGCGACCAGTACTGTACACAATATTCCAAATGAGGCCTCACCACAGACCCACTGAGGGGCATTACAATATCGGCGGTTTTATGCTCCGTCCCTCTCCCACCCACCCACCCAGCGATTTTTGAAAAGCCGCACCAACTTACTACACGTTCTGGAGGATTTTCTTCTCCACCACTCTCCGCTTGCAGGGGAGCCCATGGGACCGCTTGATGGAATACTGGATGTTGTGGAAACTCACGACGGACCCCCGAGGGGAGCGGAGAGACTCCCTGGTTGGCACCGAACGCACAAACGTGCCCGCTTGCCCGCCTTCGTCCCCCATGGTCTGGTAGGATAAACCAGGTGCGGCTGCGTTTTTGCCCCAGGTGCTGAACTCTACGGGGCCGACGCTCACAAAGTCTTTGACATCGACAGTTCCCATCCCTACGAAGTGCCTGAAAGGTTAAAGTGGTCGGTGTTCACTTTGGAGCAGAAGGTTTGCATCTACAGTTTAACCACCGGAGCCCTTGGGAGTTGGAGGATCGTCAGGAACTTTGGAATCCCTACGGCAATTTTAGGGTGCAGAATTCAGTTTAGGGTGGTCTCCTCTCACGCAGCTTCATACCGGTTTTGTGGTTTGGATCGTGACTACCTCCTGCCTTGGGGACGGGAAACTGAGGACGAGGAGGACGGATTTGCTTGTCTTGTGGGAGCCCTAAATGGACAAGCCTCATCCCCGTTTAGTGGGCGCAGAACGTCTGGTCAGAATTCAAAGGCTCAGGAGAACCACTTAACCAACAGACACGATCCACGGTGTCGCGTCCATTTGTTTCATTCCATTTGTGGGCAGGAGAATGTCCATGTGTAGGGGTGCCAATCTCCAGGTGGGGCCTGGGGTTCTCTTGGAATTACAACTACAGGGATCAGTGTCCTCCCCCCCCAAGGAAATGGCACCTCCCCTCCGCACGCTCCGCCTCCAAATCTCCAGGAACTTCCTGACTCAGAGTTGGCAACCCTATACCATATGACTAGTGCCCATTGTCAATAAAATGAATTACATTCTACGGTTTCTACTAGTACAGTCAGTTAAAGTCCTGGGGGCTGGAACTGGCCCGTCCAGGGCTCTTGTGTGGCCCGCGAGCAACTGGTGCAAGGGAGAAGAAGAAGAAGAAGAAGAAGAAGAAGAAGAAGAAGAAGAAGAAGAAGAAGAAGAAGAAGACTCTTTTTCAAGGACAGCTCTTGTCAGAACTACGGCTTGCCCAAGGTCATCCAGCCAGGTGCAAGTGGAGGAGTGGGGAATCAGACCCGGTTCTCCCAGATTAGAGTCCGTGCACTTAACCACGACACCAAACTGGCTCTGACAGAGCTTGTGACTGACCCAAGGTCACACCAGCAGCTGCATGGGGAGGAGTGGGGAATCAAACCCGGTTCTCCCAGATTAGAGTCCGCGCACTTAACCACGACACCAAACTGGAGGGAGTGCTGGGGGGAGCCACTCCATTGCGGCTTCAGCACGGCAGAACAACCTCACCTGCGGCAGTCAAGCGTCGTGCCTCTCCAGCCCGCCCATGCGGGTTTTCCTTGCGCCCCCTTCCCAGCCCTTGGGGCCTTGTAGAGAGGACACACCAAACCAGATCTTATGAGCTGCTCTCCTTTATACAGTTTATCTCTCCGGGACCTGGCATTATGTTTTAGGACACACACCGTCCGACCCGACAAAGGGACATTTATCTCAGATCCAGCCTTTGTAACAAATGAGTTCGACACCCCTGGTCTACACCTTTCAGCCTTTTACTTTCCACAGACGTGTTCATCTCAGTTGGGAAATTTCATCGGAGCGGTGAAGCCCATGAGCACGACATCAGTGCTTCAGATTTCATCTCTGCGGACTCTAATCTGGGAGAACCGGGTTTGATTCCCCCACTCCTCCACTTGCACCTGCTGGTGTGACCTTGGGTCAGTCACAAGCTCTGGCACAGCTATCCTTGAAAAAGAGCAGTTTGTGTCAGAGCTCTCTCAGCCCCACCCACCTCACAGGGTGTCTGTTGTGGGGAGGGGGAGGGAGAGGAGTTTGTGAGCCGCTCTGAGAATCCAAGTGAAGGGCGGGGTATAAATCCAATCTCTTCCTCTTCTCTTCTTCTTTTAAGCCAATCCTGCTGTTGCAATAGGGAGTTTTTTTGTCTATCATAATTTCTCTCCTACCTTGCCTCTAAGAAGCTCAAGATAGCCCACGTGATTCCTCCCTCATCTGTTTTATCATCACAACAATCCTACAAGGTAGGTCACGCTGAGAAAAAGTGACTTGCCCAGGTCGCCCAATGAGCTTCGATGGAAGAGTGGGGGATTTGAACCCGGGGCTCTCAGATCCTAGCCATCCAGTACTCCCCTAGCCATCACACTACTGTAGCTCCCTGGCTTATTTTACCTGATAATTGGAAGAATGACTTGAGAAAACAGCAGAGGGGCATTCTGGACACTAGAAGTTCTATAGGAACGCCAGATATCACTGCCAGTTGCTTCGGTGCCCCTGGTCGAATCTGCATTTGTCTTTCCCACCCGGTGTCCCAGCCTTCTGACACCTTCGTTAAAAAAGCTGTCTACGTTTGGTGTCGTTTTCACACCTCAACAGTGCTAGCATACTTTTGCACCTCTGCATATGTTTATCGCCCTTTGGTGGTGGCTCCCCTGTCATTGCACCTCTGCACGGCTTTAAAAGAATCTTCTCCAAACAACATTCAAACAAGCATAGGGGAAAACTGATTAAAAACATTCAAACAAGCATAGGGGAAAACTGATTAAAAAATGCAGATTCGACCCCTGCTTTGTGGTCTTTGCATTAGACCAATGGCATGCCAGAGGCAAAAGCCCAGCCACATTGATACACAAGGAAAGAGCTTTTCCCTGGGTCCCCTACCTGCAAGTCGCCCAGATTCGAATCCTGCCCCTCTTTCAGTGCTGCTGTGAAGGTTGGACTTGGGGCGCCAGTCAGGCCCCCCCCCCAAGCTCACGAGGGCTTTGCATTTGAAGTCCACCTGACCCTCCCGAAGCGGGGGTGCACAAGCCTCTCCAAGCCCCAGCCGCCTGCTCTGCGGCTCACGTCCTGTGCCAATCCTGTGCCACTCCGGCGCCTGCTGGCCGTGGCCTCCCTCGCAGAGGTGCTGAGCTGTGAGTCCAAGGAAGGAGATGCTGGCGCTTTCCCACAGGCGAAATCCTGCCACTTAGCTGGAAGGGCTATTGTTTCTCCTTAAAAAAACCCACAATCTTTCTACTATCATTTTAAGCGATCGTTTTAGGATTGTTTTTTAATTCATTATTTCTGAATTCATCGCAGAGCTAGAATCTTTTAAGGCTCAAGCTTAGTTGATAGAGCCATTCATCTCCCTGTTAAAACCATTTCATTGGGTATACTTAAGATGTTTCATAACCAGTGTTCCCTCTAAGCTGAGTTAGTGTGAGCCAGCTCAGTTTTTTAGCCTCCAGCTCACAGATTTTTGTCTTAGCTCAGGAAGGCTCCAGAGCAAACTAATTTATGCAGTAGCCAAATTACCTGCTCACCACTTTAATGCCAATAGCTCACAAAGTAGAATTTTTGCCCACAAGACTCCACAGCTTAGAGGGAGCATTGTTCATAACCCGTTTTGTAATGAAACAGGAGAGCACCAACGCTCCCTCCAAGCTGTGGAGTCCTGTGAGCAAAAAAATCCTACTTTGTGAGCTCCTGGCATTCCAGTGGTGAGCAGGCGATTCCGCGACAGCATCGATTCCTTTGCTCTGTCGCCCTCCTTCCCGAGCGAAGACAAAAAAAACGTGTGAGCCGGAGGCTCAGAAACCGTGAGCTCGCTCACACTCGCTCAGCTTAGAGGGAACCCTGGCAGGGCACGCGTCCAATCCCAGTCCACAGTCATTGGGACAAAAAGAGACCGCAGGAGTGTTTCTAATGGAAGGAGAGGCTTTGGTTTGACGGCTGTGTTGGACGGACGCCGTTTCCAAGCGCTCGGGCGGCCGTCTGCAAGGGGCCGGGGCGCGCTGCGGAACCCAAACCGAAAGCGCGCGAGTGGAAGCGGCCCCCGAGGCTCCTGCTTACCGCTTCCTCGGCGAGGCGGCGGTCGAAGCGTCTTTCTAGCTGGGAGCTGGGCGCGGGGCGGGCGAGGTCACTGGAGGAAAAGTCGCCGGGCTCGGAAAGGAAAGGGCGCGGCGGCCCCGTCGGGTGGGGGGATCCGTGCAGGCGGAGGGAGCAGGCGGAGGGGCGGTGCGTGTGTGTGTCTGCCTGCAGACGGGACCCCTCCCCTCCCCTCTCTCCCTCCCCTCCTGTTGGGATTCTCAATCCAGGGGTCGATGGTGGTATTGCAAACACAAGAGCCACCCGTAGTAAAAGGGAAATGTCTTTACTAGGAAAACAAAATAAGACATGGGTTAGGGTACTTTGGAGAAAAGAAATAAAATAAAAGGTGACATGCTTGCCTGCCAACAAAAGTCCGTATGGTCAAAGCAATGGTATTCCCAGTAGTCATGTATGGCTGCGAGAGTTGGACTATAAGGAAGGCCGAGCGCGGAAGAATAGATTCTTTTGAACTCTGGTGCTGGAGAAGACTCTCGAGAGTCCCTTGGACTGCAAGAAGATCAAATCAGATCCTAAAAGAAATCAACCCTGACTGTTCCCTGGAAGGCCAGATAATGAAACTGAAGCTCAAATACTTTGGCCACCCAATGAGAAGGGAGCACTCACTGGAGAAGAAGACCCTGATGCTGGGAAAGATTGAAGGTCAAAGAAGACAGGGACGGCAAAGGATGAGATGGGTAGACAGTGTCATCAATGCAACGAACATGAAGTTGAGCAAACTTCAGAGGATGGCGGAAGATCGGAAGGCCTGGCAGGAGCTGGTCCATGGGGTCGCAAAGAGTCGGACTCGACTGTGCGACTGAACAACAAAATGCTTGCAGTTACTCTCAGCAGTTATATATGCTAACAGCTACATCTTACGATCTCTCTTGGCTTCTAGAAGAGAACGACCTCTTTTGGTTCAGACAAAGGGCCCTAAACTAAAGGGGTGAATACATTAATGCTAGATCAAAGCATTTCTACAAACAAGTTGTTCGTTGACCAATACAAAGGTTACAGGTCACTTCATTATATGTTATATATAAGAGCACACACTTAGTAAAAGAAAAAAATATCTTTACTATAAAACAAAATAAAACATGGGTATGGTACTTTGGATAAAAGAAATAAAATAAAAAGGTTTACATACTTGCAGTTACTCTCAGTAATATATGCCAACAGCTACATCTTTCTATCTGTCTTGGCTTCTAGAAGAGAACTACCGCTTTGGTTCACACAAAGGGCCATAAACCTTGTGAATACATTAATGCTAGATCAAAGCATTTCCACAAACAAGTTGTTAGTTGACCAATACGAAGGTTACAGGTCACTTCATTAGGATAAACTCC